TCCCCCATCTACGGAGCCCCTGAAAGGACATGGGGAAAAACACTGCGTGGGTTTTATTTGATGGAAATTAAAAAAAACCTCCTGCCTGCGAAATGACCTGAGATCAAATGAATATATCTTGGGATAATTTTCTCAGGATATATTCATTTGAGAAAAAAAAAATCTCAGGTCATTTTGCAGGCAGGAGGTTTTTTTATTTTATTTTCTATCAAAGAAAAACCCACGCAATGCCCCCCACACCCATGTCCTTTCAGGGGCTCCGTAACCATCCCTTAGCTCTCGTGTGCCGAGTTATTTTGAACGTTTTGTTTTAGTTTGTTTTACCTACATTTTGCTGTCCTCATCACTGACACGACTGAGTGGAAATATGATGGTCTACCTTCATCTATCCTGCCTAAGATTCTTCTTAGGAAAGCTTCTGTGAATCCGGCCCGCTGGGCCCAGAACACAGCTGCCCTTCACATCCTTACGTTCTCCCCAGCACCAAGCTCAACTCAGGAAAACCCTAAGCAGATGAGCTCAATCAGGTGTGTTAACAGCAAGGAAAATATTAAAATGAGCAGAACAAAACCAAGATATGATGAGAAGCACTACAAAAACCGAGTTTCCTTCACTTTAACATCAGATTATGATTAATAATTTGACTAATGATTAACATGACTGTACTGTACTAAACGTCTGTAAGCAGATCAGTCGTTACCCTTGTTCTCTTCGGTTCTCGCTCTGCGCGGCTGTCCCGGGTTTGTCTCTCTGGCCACACGAAAGCCTCTCCGCTCCGTATTCCTGGTGCCGAGGTCCAGACGGGGAGGGAAGACGACTCAAACTGCTTTTGTGAACCTCTAGAAGAACCTGCGCAGTATAACTGGTAATCATAACAATCACCACTACAGGAGTCAGCTGAGAGTTCTGGACTACCGCAGACTTACACTCAAAGATGGTTCTTCAAGGGTTCTTCAATAAAGAAAATGGTTCCATATAGAACCATGAACACTCAAAGAACCCTTTGCATGATTAAAGGGTTCTTGTGGTAGATGGTTCCATATAGCACCAAAAGGGATCTTCTATTGTTACAAGCATGACATCACAATAGAAGAACCCTTTTGGGTGCTATATAGAACCCTTCTCGAAAAGGTTCTATATAAACATCTACAGCACATTCTCCATCAATCTGAAGAACCATTTCATGATGCAAAGAACCCTATAATCATGCAAAGGGTTCTTTTGAGTGTTCATGGTTCTATACTGAACCATTTTCTTTACTAAAGAACCCTTGAAGAACCATCTTTTTTGAAGAGTGTGGCAATAGAAGAAGGCTTTTTGGTGCTATACAGAACCCTTTTCAAAAGGGTTCTATATAAAACCATACACAACACTTTCCTGATGAAAAGAACCCTTTTCTTTACTAAAGAACCCTTGAAGAATCATTCTTTTTAAGAGGGAATGTCAAGCCTGTACCAACAGAAGAACCCCTCTGGTGCTATATAGAAGGTTCTATGTAGAACAATCTACAGCACATTCTCCCTTTAATCATGTGACGTGTTCTTGAGTGTTCAAGGTTTTATATAGAACATTTTGAACCCTTGGAGAACCGACTTTTTAAGTGTGTAGGGTGACGGTTATCTGACTTTTTGCATTTGAGGGAGATGCTGAGGCCTCAATCTGCCTTCTGTTCAGATTTAGACCAACGCTGCATTTCAAAAAAAGAATAATTCAAAGATATGAAACATTTTATTAATAAAAGTCATGATACACTCCATGTGCTGAGTTTTGTGTCTGTCTCACAGCCCAATTTTCTGAGTTTAGCCTTTTTCTAAAATTTTATTTTCCTGTAAGAAAAAAAAAAACTAACATTGACTTCTTCCATAACAAAACCAAGAAATATTTACAACATGAAATGAACGAACGTGTCGGGCGACGTCAACGTCAGAGACTCACTGTACGCTCAGCTTAAACACGCAGACTAAAGGGGAGGCACTTTAAACGGGGCGACTTTCAGGGTTTTGGGTTTTGTGTGAAAATGGACCATTTTTCAGTCTCGTCAATCAGGTAGACTTTCCAAGCAGTGAGATATCGGTCAGCTCGACAACTGCAGACCAAAGTCCAGACTGTCCTGCAGAGCAGATCACGGCTAAAACACCCAGTTAACAGTGAAATCTGACCTTATTAACAGCCCGTGCGAGAACAGCCCCACCTGGAAAATGAGTGTCTGAGAACCAAGACACACTCTTAAAAACAATGGCTCTTCAAGGGTTCTTTAGTAAGGAACCATGAACATGGACAGAACCCCTTGCATGATTAAAGGGCTCTTTGCTTCGTGAGAGGTTTCTTCAAAATGTGCTGTAAATGGTTCTATATAAAACTTTTAACCACCAAAAGGGTGGTTCTACTGTTACAAGCTTGAAGTCGTAACAATAGAAGACCCTTTTGGGTGCTACATACAGAACCATATACAACACATTCTCCATCAATCTGAAGAACCCCATGCTTAAATGGTTCTTTGCATGGTGAAATGGTTCTTCAGATTGATGGAGAATGTGTTGTATATGGTTCAGTATATCGCCAAAAAGGGTTCTGCTGTTGTTAAAAACAAAGTTGTAACAAGATAAGAACGCTTTTTGGTGCTATATAGAACGATTCTCACAGACATTCTATATAGAACCATGTACAAAACATTCTCCATCAAGAACAATTTCACCATACAAGGAACCATTTAAGCATGAAATGCTTCTGTATACACGCTTAGCAAAAAGGGTTCCATTAATCTGAAGAACTTTCATGATGCATGGAACCCTTTAATCATGAAAAGCGTTCTTTGAGTGTTCATGGTTCTTCATAGAACCATTTTCCTTACTAAAGAACCCTTGAAGAACCATCTTTAAGAGCGTGGGAGAACAAACTCAGCTGTTGAAGAAAAGCAAACATTTTGACCCATAAGGGCTTTGACGGTGCCGACTACGGTGGATCTTCTCAGCTGGTATTAAAGAACCGGAAAGGAACCACATGTGCAGGAACATTTAGAACGTTACTTCGCCTTTTATTAAAACACACCTGACTCAGCTTTGGACTTCATAATTAAGCAGAGCTGTACCAGGCGTGTTGGAGCAGGGGGTCCAATCCTGGTCCTGGAGAGATCAGATTCAGGCCTTCATTACCTGGATCAGGTGTGTTCGATTAGGGCCGGAGCTAAACTGTGCAGGGTGGCAGATCTCCAGAACCAGGACTGGGCTCCCCTGCCTTAGAGCAAGGATGAGACTTCGCTAAACTATACAGTACAACAAGGACGTTCAATAAAACAGGATTTTATGAACAGCCTTTTCCTTGTCCTCCTATTGGACAGGGCTGGCTTTGGGCTCAAGTTGTCAGGCTGACTGAGAGGATGCTGGTTTACGTAGAACATCTCAGGACTGTTCAAAACCAGGACTCGGGAAACGAGGAGCTACGGCCTAGACAGATCCAGAAGGCCTTAGGAAAGAGTCGAACTAGCTGACGAAGTCGTTCTTATGTCTTTAGATCTGTTGAGAATGATCAAGAACCTTAGGAACAACTCGAGCTCCCAACCTGAAAAATCACTTCAGATGGTAAAAATTTATTTTAAACCTTCAAGTGAAACTTTAATGCAACTATGCACAAAATACACATTTCTGGAAGCAAAGATGCCAAATGACCGTTTGCAAAGTAATGACCGACTCATCTCTCCGCACTAGTGGCTTTACACGGTGAAACGTTCATGCAACTAGATTGCACTTGAGTTGCATAATGTAAAGCATCCTGCAACTAATCTGAAACTGCCCTAATTTCCATTCAAAAAAAGCTCCGGTATTAGCTTTAGCATTAGTTTGTCTGAAGGGGCTGCTTTCTCAGCTCATTAGACATGAACATCTACCACTTTAGTGCTCAGCCGGTAAAAAGATTTTATGGTGTGATTGATGTAAACATGGTTCCCAAAATCCGAAATTCATTTATTATCGTTTTATCAACTCTCAAACCCGTATATCTACAGTGAACATCGTGTAAGGCAGTGTAAGTTACTCTTCTGTGAGGTTCTAAAATTGCCACTGTGCTGCTGAACTTGGTCCGTTAGCACAGGTGTGTGGATGATACCAGGTGGTCTGAACTGCAAGTCTGACTGATGGTACCTAAAGCTGGGCCTAAGCAGCACGATTTTAGCCAGATTTTAACCGTTTTGCCCCTTTCGGCAAATTTTCATAATCTTAAGTGATTTTCTGTGTTGGGAGTTCGAGTTGAGCATAACATTCTTGATCACACTCAACACGTCCAAAGACGTAAGGCAGACATAATTCATCTGGTGCCTCGCAGAAAAGGGCTGAGGTTCGACTCAGATCCCAGTTAAAGAATAGAACCAAAAGCTCCGGCGTAAGGTTCCCCCTCATACAGTACGGTTCTAAATCTGAGATGACATCATTCAAACAGCAGCACAAGTCCTGGACTCATCCATTCTGTTCTCTTACGTTCAGTCACTTCAGCAGCGCCACAGGAGAAGAGGTACTGGAAGATTCGGGCATTCACTGAATTCACTGAGAGAAGCAAAACAGGCTTTGACTGCATGTAAGAACTTCTATTGTTCTGCCTCGAAGGAATTAATCCACATACAGCAGAGAAGAATTAGCCGATGGGTTTTCGGGTCAACAGAACGAAGGAGTTACGCTAGTGATATCTAACTAGTGTGAAGAGCACTGATGAGGTATGCGCTTGAAACACCTGGTCACGTTAAAATTGTGGGATCAAATCTAAGCATCAAAACCATTTAGTTCATTTTGAGGAATTCTAGACTGGATTCACAGAAATCCACAGTACTAGATAACAATCTGGGAGATTTAGTCACGTGTTATCGTCTCAGATTACACACTGATCAAGTGCCTTACCACGTCAACGCCTCAACTGGCTGCTCTCGCTGACGGGTCCCCCTCAAACGTCAACCACACTTGAAGTTAAATAAGATGCAAAGTCCAAACCTAACAACGATCGCAGAGAAAAACAACTCATTTCTGGTGTGAACGACAAGATGTAATTATGCATGGATTATTTACAATAAAAATCAGATCATTCTGACAGCTCCGTAATCAACACATGGGGAAACAAAAACATCCTTGTAAAACAAAGCAAATAGGAGTAAAAAAACAAAAAAAACAAAAAAGTCTTCAATGGTTCTAAACATTCTCAGCTGGAGGTTGTTGGTTCGGTCCCAGACCAGCATCACAGCTCTGACTCCAGTGCTCCGGTGACCAACCCTCCACCCGCAGATCGGCTTCCCTTAACAGTTCAGCGCCGTCCTTTCCCGACATACCTAACCAAGGTGATCACAGCCGTCTGAAGACCTCATTTAAGTGGATCAGGACAGTTAGATCTGGACTGCACTCAACTTTTACAGGACGGCAGACCTCCAGGAGAAGGACTGGCGTGACCACTGCACTTCCAGTGGAAGGTCAAAGAAAAGTCAGAGATTAAAAAGTGAAGAAAGGTCAGATCTTGTCCTGGATGAAGGGGTGCTGCAAGGCCTGGTTGATACTGATGCGCTTGGCTGGGTCCAACATCAGAGTGCCATCCAGCAGATCTTTCAGCTGCATCACCTTCTTCCGCTGCTCCTCAGGAAGCCTCTGGCCACCGATCAGGTCTGCTAGCAGGTCCTTCGTGGGGTTAATAGTGCTCATTACTGTCACTTTCTCCTAGAGAGAGAGAGAGAGAGAGAGAGAGAGAGAGAGAGAGAGAGAAGGTGCTTGAGTAATTTGTGTAAGATTGTCACCTTTTATGCACACAATCTTATATAGTGCTCATTACTTATACTGTTCATCACCGTTATCACCACCAAACGTCACATATGCATGTCTTGAATGTGCAGGAAACACATTTTGGATGCCAAATGACTTTGCAAAATAATGACCGACTCATCTCTCTGCAGTAATTCCTTCGTCAAGCAAAGGGAAAATTCTACAAGTTTAAAAGTAGCCTTACACAGTGAAACCTTCATGCAACTAGATTGCACTCGAGTTGCATAATGCAAAGCATCCTGCAACTAATCTGAAACTGCCCTAATTTCCATTGTTTCAATAAAGACCTCTTGTAAAAGATGCTGCATCCTCCTCAGCATCTAATTTTACTCTGAATAGCTCCAGTATTAGCTTTAGCATTAGTTTGTCTGAAGGGGCTGCTTTCTTAGTTAACCTGATATGAAAATCTACCACTTTAATGCCCAGTCAGTAAAAGATTTTATGGTTTGATTAACGTAAACATGGTTCCCAGAATCCTTTTTGTATTTAAATGGGCCTACATTCATTCAGTATCACTTCATTAATTCTTAAACAGGTACATCTCCAGTGAACATCTTGTAAAGAAGTTTATTTCTGGATAAAAAGGTGATAACACTATTTGGATAGTCCAATTTAGATGTTTTGTAGATGCTTAATTTACTTTCAAGTTAGATTCAAATAAATATCTACTAAACTGACCATAATCATCTTCAACTCTAAACCTGCTCTAATCCTAATCTTAACCTCAACCCAAAACCTAAACCAACCCTCACCTTGTTTCAAATCTTAACCCACCACCAGAATTAGAGTTTCAACAGATTCTACAGGGGAATCTACTGGACTATCCAAATAAAGTGAGACCAAAAAGGTTGGAGTTGCTCTTGTTTGTGGTTCTAGAATTGCAACTGTGCTGCAGACCACTTTAGTCCATTAGGACAAGTGTGCAGACGCTACCAGGTGACAGTAACTAAAGCTGGGCCTACATGACAATTTTTAGCCCAATTTTAACCCTGATTTGCCCCTTCTGACAAATTTTCACAATCTTAAGCGATTTTCCAGGTTGGGAGCTCAATCGTAAGCGATTCACAGTGTAGTTGATCTGGTAGTGTGAAAGGATAAACGGGTCAATCTTTAGCCCTCCGACTGAGCTCACGATCTTCACGAGTGTTAGATGGTTGGCAATGTAACTGAACAAGTGATTCAGGAAAAAGACAACATGTGGAAGAGAGAAATAAAAGGTGAAGAGAGATGTGCGTGTACTCCGCTGTGTGAGCAGCAGACCACGGAGACAGAAGAGCTGCTTGTTAATCACTCTCTTTACAGTTTCAAGTCAACAGGCAATGTGTAGTCAATATTTCTCCAGCTGTGACTGTGATAACAGTGTTTCAACTTAATTTACACCCTGTTTACATTTTCGCTACACTTCTTGTGTGCATAAAAGCACAAACAGGTACACCCATGTGATAACCTGGGATTCTGAGTGCTTCTTGTAGCCCAGTGGTCGTAAACCAAATGTTAAGAAGAGCCATTTATCTTTTCAACAAATCAAACCTCCACAACATTGTGTCCATTCTAACATCTTGGCTGTAAATATGTTAGTAAATTAGTATAGACTAACAAATATAAATTTACATATAAAATATGTAGAGACTGACTTTGCTCTGCTTTAAGCTTTAGCTCAGATATAGCTGATTTTCTCGCATCTCCAGCAGGAAACTTTTCCAAAAGTACAACAGTTTCTTGTAAAATGTCTCTCAACATTTGGCTTCTCGTTCACCAGCATCTTGTTTGAATTTTCTCATTCCACCTTAAATGGTGTCTGAGGCACCAGAATGTAACTGCTGCACCATTTAAGGTGGAACGGGAAAATTTGAACAAGACATGGACTTCAGCTTTGCGACTTTTTAGCGTTTGACAATTTTTCGCTGCAGATTAAACATTTTAGGAAACCAGCTGGAGTGATTATAAACACAGAAGTCCATTCATCTCCAAATGATCGATGTTGGTCTTAAATCTCTCTCTTTGCCGTCTGTGTTGCTATGGCGACCAGCAGTCTGCGCTGATCTTCAGGGTTAAAGGGTGAATTAGCAGTTCTACATTAACTCCAGAGTTTAAGACCATTTATTGTTAAACTGTGTTGAACGATCAGCAGAGCTTTATTTTACTGTAAAGGAGGATTATTTTATTTTTACCTACTAATCTGATTCAGCTGTGGAGCAACAGGACAGTAAAAGAGCCGCATGCGACACCTGTTGTAGCTGAAACTCGTTATAACCTCTTTTCGCCTTATTTTGCCTTTTTGCTTGCCCTCACTACAAAATACGAAATTCTGTTAAGACGGACGATAACTGTGATGCTTTTTGTTTTCGAAATCAGAATTTTCCATATTGTTTTTCTTAATTCTTTACTCTTGGGTTTGTATGACTTGTATTGGTAATTGTTACCGTACTATTTGTGTTATGTATGATATGTCTACTGGACCCCAGGAAGAATAGCAGCTATCACAATAGCAGCTAATGGGGATCCTAAAAATAAACAAAAATAAACAAAAATGGTCTACTGACAATTCTACACAATGACTGGACTGAATTTGATGAAGCTGAACAAACCCTCTCAGTCACTTTGTCCACTTCTATGTACAGGAAATTCAAGTTCTGGTCGAAGTGTTGATCTTTGAACAAGCCTTTCCGGATCATCTAAAAGACAGATACGAAAAACATGATTAATGTAGCAGCATAAAATATTTGAAGATTACAGCATCTGCCAAAGAAAGTCATGACTGTTTTGCAACTATATACTGTTCTAATTGAATGTCTCACACAAGATGGTTCTTCAAGAGTTCAGAAAATGGTTCTATATAGAATCAAGAACACTCAAAGAACCCTTTACATGATTAACGGTTTCTCTGCATCGTGAAAATGTTCCAGATTGCAGAGTGCAGTACATGGTTCTATCCAGAACCTTTCTGAAAAGGGTTCTATGTAGCACCAAAAAGGATTCTTCTATTGTTACAATGTTGAGCTGGTAACAAAAGAACAAACCTTTTTGGTACTATATAGAAGGATTTTTAAAAAGACCCTATATAGAACCATGTACAGCACATTCTATCATCAATCTGAAGAACCATTTAACCATGCAAGGAACCCTTTAATCATGCAAAAGGTCCTTTGACTGTTCATGGTTTTATATACAACTATTTTCTTTACTAAAGAACCCTTGAAGAACCATCTTTAAGAGAGCACAACAGTATTAACCAACAGTGCTGGCCAGACCTTGTTGGGCATCTTGCCCTTGAGGTCCATGGAGAGTTTGATCATGTGGTTGTTGGAGGAGCCGGGGAACAGGATTTTTCCTGTGTAGAGCTCATACAGCGTGCAGCCCACTGACCACATATCAATACCGTAATCATATGGCTTCCCAATAACTGCAGACAGAAACAGAGAGAAGAAATTAGTATAACATTCTAACTGCCACACAACAATTTACTTTTATGCAATTTTAATTTCCAGAGCAAGACAGAAGAGCAAGATCAAGGCCCAGTCCCATTCCTTATTTTCACCCCTACCCCTTGTTTTCGAGTGTTGCCCCTTGGAACTGAGTTACAGGGTAGTGGTTGAAATCTTCCCTCTGAAATGGGACCCTCAAATAAAAAGAGCATCACTTCATTAACAGCTACCAGCGCTGCTCTGTAGGCGACCCTGCCAGTCTGCAGTGACAGCAGAGGAGGGTAAAGTTCAGCTCCTCACTGCTGGGCTTTAGTTACATTTAGGGCATCATATGACTTCAAAGAGGGGGGCAATTATTTATTATCACCCACCCCTAATTCTTCAGTGATATGAAGCTGAAGTCAGATATTTGCCAGATTCTCATTCTAATTTTCCTGTTCCACCTTACATGGTTCTGCAGTTCTGACGCCTGAGGGGCCAGAATGTAACTGCTGCACCGTTTAAATTTAGCTACCGAGACGTCGGCACTACTAGTGATTTTTATGCTTGTTATGAAGAAAAGAACCAAAATACACTGAAACAACATTAAACTAAGACAACACAATGGTTATCGTAATTTCTTGACAGAGAAAATTCTCACATTTGTGGGTTTCTTTGGTTTCTTGTGCTCCATCTTGCCAGTTTTTCTTTTTTTCTCATAATACTCCGTTTGGAGGGTCACGTAGCTCTAATACTTCACCCTACCCCTCTACCTCAACAAGAACCGGGACACCCCACCCCTAGACATGAACATGACAAACGAAGGGGTAGGGCCGAAGGGTGAAATGGGAGTGGGCCCGGTTCCTGGCACTCAGCCACAAGGAAATAAAGTAGTGAAGGTGAGCTTACTGATCTCAGGAGCTCTGTAGAACCTGCTGACCAGGTAAGGTGTGATGTCGTTGTCAGCCACGTGAGACGCTGAGCCAAAGTCACAGAGTTTCAGGATGGTCTTGGACTCGTTCACCTGCCACAGGCAGAGAGAGAGAGAAGAAAGAAGGGGAAAGAGAGTGAAGCTACACCCGTTTCATGCATTTAATCCTCTCATACCGGTTCCTCTGAAACAAGAGGTCAATGGTGGACTACATGCACTCAGTCAAACCATTAAACAGAATCTATTAACTACTTTCTTTCACAATACACCAACTGTGAGACGCAAGTTTTAAGCTCACCAATATGTTGTCAGGTTTGATGTCAGCATGTAGGATGTTGCAGCGCTTCAGAAGCTTCAGGGCCAGAAAGAGCTGCTGGCTGTAAGAGCGAACGGCCTTAATGTGGAGCCCTACATCTTTCCCGTACTTCTTCAGGACCTCTCGTAGATTCATACTGTGTAGTGAGGGAGAAAAGAAGAAAGTGAGATTTAAGATTACATGGTTGAACTTCACTTTCATCCCAATTTTTGATCCAGATGACATTGATTTACAGAGGCACACACAGACAGTGGTGTCCAAGATTGAAAATCTGCGATTGTCTCTTTAAAACCAAGAAAATTTTAGGAATTTGAAAAACTGAAAAAGAAAAATCTTTGTTTCTGCACTCTTTCTAGGTCCACTGTTAAATTTTAAATGAAGAAAATGACTTTTTTTAAAACCTTTCAAACAGGCTGTTTAAATGAGTTAACAATAATTATAAATCCTATTATAATTACTCATTATTATAAGTAGAATAATTAATAACAATATATTTTATTATATAATTATTAATAAGAATTTGTCTATTATTATAATAATCAACAACTATCATTGCAATAATGATATTATAATTGTGTTATTTAATTTTGGTCGTTCTATCTAATGTATTTACATCCTTTTATTAATACCATGCTATCTTTAAAGCGTCACTGCTCCTCAGTAGTGTGAGCTGGACAGATGCGTTTTTGTGAACAGCATTAAAATACAAGCCCAAGTTTGTTGTTGTGGGTCGTTTACTTCCTAAATAAACCTACAGTGCAAATTTACAGAAAACATGGATTCCCTTTTAATGCTTGTTCAACTGTTTTGCTTACAGATCAGTTTAAATACACTTTTGGTCTTTGTGGCATGTCTTGAGGTTTTGTTGATATTCTGCATTGGACTGGATTTGATTAGTAGAATATGTGATTTGTAGATTTGAAAGTCGAGGTGGGCACGTTCACATGCAGCGCTAGAAAATGGGTGCTGTATTAAGCCTTGGGTTCACTACACGACGTTTAAAGTCTTAACAGATAATAAAAGACTGGGCGTCTCACACGATACATGGGCGACTGAAATACTGTGAATCACACACTAAACCATTAGTGAATCACACTTCGAGACAGAGGAAAGAAGCATGCAAAGGCAGAAGGTCTTAAAAAGGGTTATAATCTCTTCCCCTGAAGCATGTGTTCTGACTGCTCTTGACTGGATTTCATCTACCCATCAGAGGCTTATATTTATTATACCAAAATACCAAAAATTAACATTAATGAGACTCTGCATTTCACTCCAATTGTTACATTACAAGACAATGCAAAATAGAAGCATTTTCACTAGCAGTCTCAGACCTCTGCACTCCACTGTACATACAAACATAATGTGCAGTACCTGAGAGGCTCAAACACTAGACACAAGTGCTGTTTGTGGTAGAAATGCCTGAAGAGGCGCAAGCAGTGGAATTTATCATCAGGATCAGCATCGTTGAGCTTCTTCAGGAACTCCAGTTCCTTCAGCCCTGTCTTCTGCCTGTTAGATCACACAACACATTCTAAGCAATTTCAAAGAAATCAAAATATGAAACCACTGAGCCCATTCCAGATGAATAAATCAACAAATAATTACACTCACAAGTGTTTTATTTAAACCTCTTTGAAAATATTACAAGCACTCACATGAGCTCGTTGTTTCGGATGATTTTCACTGCCACCTCCTGGCCAGCACGGGCAGTGTCTCTGGCTCGGACAACGTTGCTGAAGACACCCTGCCCCGTGTAGCCATACACATCATAGCGCTTATCCAGCATCTCACCAATGTTTACACCTGGAAGAAGAAGGAGGGAAACACTAAGGGCTGATCTGGATACACGACTAACTCAAGTCTTCTCTTGACTTTAATTTAATGTATATATATATATATATATATATATATATATATATATATATATATATATATATATATATACATATATACACAATTGTGTGTTTACATGCACTCAATCATCCGATCATAATCAGATTTCTGCTGTTACCTATTTATTCAAATGGTCACAAACAGCACACTGATTTCTTAGATTAGAGTATGGACTAGAATTCTGATAAAGAAGCTGGATTTTTAGCTCAGTAATCAGATTTCTAAGTGCAAGTAAACTCTTACTCTGATTTCTTTCAGATTTCTCAGTCCGTGCATCTGCGAGATGCAACAAAACACTTTTGGAGCGGCGCTGAAACCGACTACATTCTTGACGAAATAAAGGATTTACATATTCTTCATCTTCTAGATGATGTATGTTCATATTTTCAGGTAAAGTGGCGCGATGTTTAAAAAAAAGCTGTGGCATGAAATTCGAGTTTCACATTATGTTTATGTCGTGCAGAAATCTGATTACTGTCTGACTCTCCTGGACTTTCCCCATTACCTGATTACCCAAATGCATGTAAACGTTTGATGATCGGATTACTGACAAATTCCGATTTTCTGCAGTTATCGGATTAAGTGCATGTAAACGCACTATGTTGACAGTGCTACTGGATGTCATCATCAGCAGAGAGTCTATCTGAGATTTTACTGTAGAAAACAGGAGTTTGTAAAGTCCCTTGTACAAAATGGTCACTGTATTGTGTTTTTCACGACGAAGCACTTACGATAGTAGCCTTCAGAATCAGTCCAGTTGTCCCTGAGATTTGGATTCTCTTTAAAGTCCTTCCCGATGCCCACAGCCCTGAGCCTGGCACTCTGTAGAGAACGCAAGAGAAAGAAGTCAGAGCTTCTCTACACACTGGGTGTTCACGTTTGTACAACCCCTGTGAGCAGAAACAATCATGACTGAAAGAGTGGACTAAGAGTGGAATTGGTTTTAAGTACTTTTTAACCCCCAAACTTACGTCGAAATCTGCAGCGAACATGTCGTCAGACTCCGTGAACATGTCAGGGGCGGAGGGCTTTTTTGTGTTGGCTGCTGATGAACAAAGAGCACAGAGCATTCGCATGTTTATTTCAAGCATCTATCTTATAAATAACACACAATGTTATGCTGCCTTAATAAATTTCTATCCCATACACACACACAAAAGATGGTTCTTCAAGGGTTCTTTAGTAAAGGACATTGTTCTATATTCAACCATGAACATCCAAAGAACCCTTTGTATGATTAACGGGTTCTTTGCATCCTGAAAGTGTTCTTCAGATTGATGGAGAGTGTGCTGTGGATGGTTGTATATAGAACCTTTGTGTTCTATATAGCAACAAAAAGGATTCTTCTATTGTAACAAGCCTGACATCGTAACATACAAACCCTTTTTGGTGCTATATAGAACCCTTTTCAAAAAGGCTCTATACAGAACCATCTACAGCACATTCTCCATCAATCTGAAGAACCACTTCACAATGCAAAGAACCCTTTAATCATGCACAGGGTTCTTTGAATGTTCATAGTTCTAAGTAGAGCCATTTTCTTTGCTGCAGAAGAACCATCATTTTTAGTGTGCAGCAAATAAATAATTGTGCATTAGAAGTTTGCTCCCTAAAGAAGAGCGTTAACTTATTTTTATTTAGAAAATTAAACAAAATGTAATCTAACCAGGGATATTCAACCCTGTGCATACAATTGTATGTAAACACAGCAATGCACTCACTTCTCTACACTGAGAAAACAGAAAATCAAAGCTTTCAACTGCACTCAATTTATAATTCAATTCAAATAAAATAATTTTCAAAAATTTGTCCCATGCTACAGACACATTAATCTTGGGCTTCAATGCATATGAATGACAGGCAATCCACCTGTTCAATGCATTGCAATTAAAAGTGTTTCCCTCCATTCTTCCACAACTGCTTTCCTACTTATCCAAATGTAAATCTGGATAAGAGCTATTGCACTACTTTGTCTTTGACCCCCGCAGGAGCACTGACCTTCTTTCTCCTGGGCGATGAGGTTGTGCTTGGCCTTCACGATGGCCTCAAACGTATTCACGTTCTCGCGCTCGTACTCTTTCACATCTGCAGCCGCTCTTTCCAGGATGTCGTCTGGAGAGGCTGAACGGCTGCGTGTGCTGCTCTGGGGGCTGCTGGGCTCGGACGCCATGGAGCCCATGTTGCTGTCCTCGTTCACTGCCTTGTATTTCTAAAAAAGAAAATGAGGGGGAAGAGAGAGAGAGAGAGAGAGAGAGAGAGAGAGAGAGAGAGAGAGAGAGAGAGAGAGAGAGAGAGAGAGAGTGTTGCTGGGCTTAGTGTTCAAGAGACCAAGAGCTGATAAAATTAGCATTCAAGAGAATGGAAAAGTGCCCAAGACAACAGAGCTGGTTAGAGCGACAACTTGTATCTTGCAAGAAAGCAGCTCATGAAAACACAACGGGTGAAACTGAGAATGTTTATTCACGCCACATGATCTTCCTGCAGGGGCCACAGTGGTGACAGTCTTCAGCTGTATCTCCAATGAGAGTGCAACGATTACTCGACTTAGTTAAATTGACGACCAAATTACTTGGTGACTAATTTAACAGTTGATTGGTTGGTGACGTCGTCATTAAAAGCCTACATCATTAAAGCCTAACATTCAACATCAACATATTCAGTAGAAAAATGATTTAGACAACACGATAAATGAGTAAGTCATTAATGGTTGATAGTTCACACAACTTCAGATATTTCACATCACGTGGCCCTGCTAAAGGGAGACAACAGGCGCTGTCAAGTAACAAACTCTAACAAAACAAATGAGTTCACACGGTAACGTTAATAACTTATTACAGATGGATTTAAGTTCGGCTACATTTCGATTTTCTTATGCCGTAAAATGCACTTGTCTTCAGTGATGTATGTATTTCCTTATTCGATCATTATAAGTTATAAATATTTAAAAGTCAGGATCAAAAGCTTATATTTGTCACAGAAAATTAACTAAATCAGACAGCGGCACGCAGCTGTATCTGACAGGCAGCCTGTTTCTGTATGCCCCTCCGCCGTGCCTGCGCGTGTGCCGAGTGTTTGCGGTCCATTAACACACGTCTTATTGACATAGTATAATAATTCCATTGCAAATCATAATAAATTTAAATAATTTATATAAAAGTCAATTTATAAACACTATACAGGGAAATAGGCAGAGTGGAAAAGACTATAATGTATTAATTAATGAATTCATTTATTTATTTATTTAACAAAAAGTGACTAAGCTAGTCACCTGACAAACCCAGAGCCACCCTTCAAGGCCGCACTGATTTCTTAATAAATGATGAGGAGCTCATGAGGCCATTTCCTCTTCCCAGAGCTATTTTAGTGTATCTATACCTTTGTACACTTACCTTACTGTTTTTTTCTTTCTTTTTTAATGAACAAATAAAATAAACCATGTTAGTAAGTAGGGGTGGGAATCTTTAGGCATCTCACGATTCGATTACGATTCAGAGGCTGCGATGCGATTATAAAACGATTATCGATGCATCTTTTTTCTCTATACATGATTTCTGTCTTCCTACGGTCTGAGGACTTGGTAGTTTTAAAGCAAAGTATTTGTAATGATCCATAATGTAAATGCATTACAGATCATTACAAATACTTTGTTTTAATTATCTAAAATATCTTTTATTAATAAATCAAATGGAGGTGATGTGGCAAGTGAACTAGAAGGCTCTCATTCAGAGACGCTGCTGCCACTCATCTGCGATAAAATGCGCTGTTACCCTGAAATAAGATCCAGTGGTGATGGGTGTCCACGCAGCACGTTACAGCCACCCTTTTGGTCTCGCTGTAGAGATTGGGGGGGTATTTTCGAGACTGGACGCTGAATCTCGGCTCCAAAGTGTGCAGCATAACGCGAAAGCCCTGGTTCTCAACGACCGAGAACAGACAGCAGACAGCAGGTCACATAGCCCCGAGGTCCGGCCTCGCCAGTAGCGAACGAAGAAACAGAGATTGAGACGAACATTTGGAGACTTATTCGCATTTATAAGCAGCGCGGTTGGTTAAATCTGCTGAGAGACTGTCTTTCTCTAAAAAGTTGAGAAAATGAACTCGCTTCTCTTTCGTATTTTCCCGTTCCACCTTAAATGGGGCAGCAGTTACATTCAGCACCTAAGGCAGAATTTAAGGTGGAACGGGAAAATTAGAACGAGAAGCTGGCGAATGAGAAGCGGCTTCAGCCTCGTAAAACAGCCGGACGCTGATACATTTTACAAGAAACTCTTCTAGTTTTGAAGAAAGGTTTTCTGGCGGAGATGGAAGGAAAGCGCCTGTAGCTAAAGCTTAAAGCAGAGCGGAGTAAATCTGCGCTCTCGTTTATATTTTTTGCCCATACTACGACATCATCACACACTGAGACATACTGGACATTCAGTGTTGTGGCTCCCAAGGTGGTTTGACTTCGTTGAAAGGCAAAACGGCTCTTCTTATCATTTGGGTTGTGACTCCTGATCTAACCTGGCTTTAATGCAGAGGGAGCCGGTCGGATTTCTCACTCATCCAGTTGTGTTTTTGTTATGTGCCGCCACAGACTGTCCGGGCGCTGCACTTACCCACTTCCAGTTCCGGCTTTTGCGATCCGTCAACATTACGTTATAAATTAAATATTTAGAAAATCGATTTTTGACGTTGAATGAATCGATTCAGAATCGTTCACGTCCGCATCGCGATGCATCTAAGAATCGAGTTTTTCCCGCACCCCTATTAGTAAGCCTGTTAAACCAGTGAGCACAGAGCACGAGGAGAACATCATGCTGCACTACTCTTTTCTCTCCTTTTGAGCGTTTCTTGTTGGAAACATTCAAATGAAAATGGTTTAAAAGATTTTTTATATAAATTTTTCACATGCAGAACAATGAGAACTTTTCTCCACAACAAAACTTGGAGCAACTTCTGATCACAGGTCTAAACACTTGTCAGTCTCCCACCTGCACTATAGCGAGCCGCTGCTGTCGTCGCTGTTCAATCAGAGCTTCCTCATCCTCCTCTTCAGCATCGAAGTCTTCCATCCTGAAAAGATTGACAAATTTAAGTAATCTAAACGACAATTAACAAACAGAAAACCTACAGGATCACGAACAGGTGTTTCTAATCTCACTGGACGTTTTCTCGGGCCACTTTCTCTACAGGAACTTACCTGATTTAATGCATCTGCTATTAGTCCTTTCTTTTATAGGCAATGCTGTGCACAGTTAAAGGGCAATTCCACCAAATTTTTCAAAACTTCTGCATAATTTACTCATTGATATGTAAACAAACATGATGTGAAATGGTTAACTGTAGAGACTCGGATGTCTTTACAGTGGTGGTGATAGGAACCAGGGGTCACCATGACTACAACACAAATATAGCCATTTTATTTACTATCCAGAACCACCAGTGAACCTACAAGTGTCTTCTGAGTTTTATATGTAATGCTAATATCAGCAAAATATCGAGAAATGTGAAAAAATAATATGAACAGTTTTTAAAAAAAGGCCAAAACTTTCTCCAGAAGCGATCATAAAACACTGTCTCAGGTATCAGACAGCACATCTGTAACCATCTCATGTAATAACTCTTGGTGATGTGGCTTTTAGAGGTATTAAACTCTTCAGACATCTGATTCCCACCACCACTGTGAACAATTCTAACTCATTAATCTTCAATAGAACAGAGCATTTTATACCAAACAATTCTGATTATTGTTTAATTATGCAAAAATTTTGAAAATTGGGTGGAATTCCCCTTTGAGCTGCTATATACAGAATATAAGTCCTTTCCAATCTTTATTCCACTCACTGAACGAATACAATGGCAGTGTATGAGCAACCCCTCCTACTTACACTTCCTCAGAGGAGGAGTCTTGGTCCGCCTTCATGCCCTCCGACAGGCTCCCCTTGAACTTGTCCTCGTCTCGGCTCCGCCTCCTCCTGCGCTCACGGTCCCTGGAGGTGGAGCGACGAGGTCTGGAGCGTCCGAACCGATCCCTCTCAGGAGACCTGAGAGAAAAACAGGGCAGAAGAGCCGGTCAGCCAGTGGCCTCCTTATTTATACCATCAGTGTCCAACCCAGAGTCGGCGCTTCTGAAGTGAGCTGTTCGATGAACGCTGTCCCAGGTGAGTCTATTCCGTTCGCTCTCTCACCTTCGTCTCAGAGGAGTGCGGCTCCGTCTCCTCGGCGAGAGGCGGGCCTGCCTGCGTGGTGACATGGACCTTCGTCTGAGCGGTGAGCGGCTGACCCTGCGCCTCATTGGGCTCGAGTCATGTGACCTTCCGATCCCATCAGCACGAGAGCGCTTCCTGAGGGAGGCAGAAACGTCCAGATATTAGTGTGAAGCCTCTCTGCTTTTACACCAAAACAGAGCACAAAATAAAGACCAACCTGCCGGAGAGCCACTCCCCTCCACAGGTAGTACTGAGCCTGGAGGACAAGTACCACGTAGAGTTTATTTCTAACCCTAAAGCACCAGAACATTAGACCCAGCGTGTTAGCTGTATTGTAGTTTCTCAGGACCACCTGATCTAAACTAGAGAATTTGGGAGCTGCAAGAGTGCTTTAAGGGGGCAAACAGCCCCTATTCACAACTTGAAAATAGTTGATGTGTAAAATCTAACAAATAATAATAGTAATAATAATAATAATAATAATAAAAAAAAGTTAGTTTTGTGGCCCTTAATCTCTGTAATCTAAGAAACATGGTTTAGACAGTCACACACTTTTAAGGTGTCCTTATTTTAAGGCAAATACCAGAGTATTTTATTTAGGGCTCAAATATCACGAATATTCAAAAATGAAAATATTCGACAGCTGCAGCCCGAAGTACAACACTCTACTGAACATTTTCATTTTAGAATAAGCCACTAAATATCATGAATATTTGAATATTCTATAAGAATAAGGTAAGCTTAAACGTGCCTTTCCCTTTTATGATCAAATGAAAACACTGTGCGTTCACATGCGCCCAATAATCTGATCATAATCAGATTTCTGTTGTTATCTGATTATTCAAATGGTCATGTAAACACTGATTTCTTAGATCGGAGTAAGGTTTAGAAATCTGAATAAGAGATCCGATAAAGAGGCTGGATTTTAGCTCAGTAATCAGACTTCTCAGTGCTGTAAACTCTTACTCTGATTTCTTTCGGATTTCTCAGTCTGAGCATGTGCGAAAACAGACAGTGGTACCAGAAATAAGTGAGCAGTCATTTGAAACCAAAGGATTTAAATATTCTTCATCTTCTAGATGATGTTTGTTCATATTTTCAGGTAAATCGGCGCGATGCTTAAAAAAATTTGAGTTTTACATTATGTTTACATCATGTTTTATTCTGTGAGTTTATCGGCTGGCTGTAAAGCAGAAATCTGATTACTGTCTGATTCATGTAGACCCGGAGTTTCCCCATTATCTGATTACTCATGTGCATGTAAATGTGTTGACTGGATTACTGATAAAATCTGATTTTCTGCAGTTATCGGATTTTTCAGTACACGTAAACGCACAGTCTGATCATTCCCGAGGCTGGAGTGGTAAATGATAAGTAGTACTGACAGGAGATTAGGCATGATTAAGTGTTGGACTAAACAAATGCAAAATACAGACATAAGACACAACCTGAGTCAGATCAAATGAACTCTGCAGTCCCTCAAGTAGCCTGAAAGCTTTAGATGACTTTAAAATCACTAATTCAGCTAAATGAACTGCCCGTCCGGCTGGAAACACCTGGCTAACGAGAGTAAGATTCACTATGCTGGCTGAGAAGCTTAATAACAAACTCAGCTTAACTGAACAGACAGGGAATCAGATATAGTTTAGCTGTGAGTTTCAATTTCAAAACTGTCCCAAGAGCTCACTTTCCAGCTATTTTCAATATTGCACAGTCACTGAAAAAACAGTTAAGACAGCCAAAGCTGACAAACAGAAGCTCCTGTTTCAGGTGCCAACTGTCCACTTTGATATCAAACTAAAAATAAAACTGATCCTCTTTAACAGCTCAGAGCAGCCCAGAGACAACCCCTGTGGCGAAAGTACAAGATCTGTAAATACAACGCAAAGTACAAAATTCACTGAGCAAGCCACAGCCTACTGTACAAATCAGGACCCGCAGTATTGACAGACCACCACAATATTAATGATATTCCTAATGCAAAATATTAGCACACTGGTGAACCACTGAGGGAACAAGAACGATATTGATTAACTGAAATGAGGATCAGGTAGACGTCCTGGCTCATCAAAACATCAGCTGAAGCTAATGTGAAAGGTGTGGTAATCTGACTGGGGATGATGCTCACTAATATGCAAAAAATGGATTTGTAATTTGTTGACGGGCCTAATAAATGATAATCATACAGCTATCACAACCCTTCATCCCTACCGCATAGAACTACCCCTCCGTTTTGAGCGTTCACATCTAGGGGGAGGGTGAAGTGTTGGGGCTACATGACCCTCCAAACGGAGGTTTTTCAGAGACTCCAAACAGAGAGTTATGGGAAAAAAAGAAAAACTGGCAAGACGACTGAACGAGAGACCAAAGAAACCCACAAGTGTGAGAATTTTCTCTGTTAAAAATTATAATAACCATCGGTTTATCTTAGTTTAATGTTGTTTCAGTGTATTATGGCCCTTTTCGTCATAAGCACACAAAAAATCACTAGTAGTGCTGATCTCAGTAGCTAAATTTCCCGTTCCACCTTAAATGGAACGGGAGAATTCGAACAAGAATCTGGTGAATATCTGACTTCAGCTTCATATCACTGAAGAATCAGTGGTGGGTGATAATAAATAATTGCCCCCCTCTTTGAAGATCATATGATGCCCTAAATGTAACTAAAGCCCAGCAGTGAGGAGCTGAACTTTACCCTCCTCTGCTGTCACTGCAGACTGGCAGGGTCGCCTACAGAGCAGCGCTGGTAGCTGTTAATGAAGTGATGCTCTTTTTATTTGAGGGTGCCATTTCAGAGGGAAGATTTCAACCACTACCCTGTAACTCAGTTCCAAGGAGACACTCGAAAACGAGGGGTAGGGGTAAAAATAAGAAATGAGATTGGGCCAATCTGATTGCTTGTTGACACTGTTTATTTTTCCTGTCCATTTAATTGAGATCTTGTAGTTGCAGGGCACAGAACAAGTGCCACTGAGTAAAGTGCTTAACCTAGTATATCCAGGGTTATCACTCCATCACTCCTCTCCAGTGACAGTATGTTCTCACTAACACAGCTGAAATAAAAGATCCCTACCTGACCGGTGAGTCTCTCCTGCGCTCGCCCGAGCGACTTCGAACCCTCCTGGCAGGCGATCTGTTCCTCGAGGGCGAGTGACTCTGTTTGGCGCTCCGTTCGGTGGAGCCTGAGGGCGGAGGATGGGACTGACGCTCCCTGCGGCGGGGAGAGGAACTGCGGCGACGCTGAGGGCTCGATGGCCTCCTGATGTGTGGCGAGCGGTTCTCCTTCCCCGACGAAGCATCCTTGGAAGGAGACTTCCCCGGCCTCTGTTCCCTGTCCGTCTCCGAACGGGCCGGGTGTCCATCTTTGGAGCGGGACCTACGATCCCGCGAGCGGCTCCTGCGCGACACGGACCGCCGGCTGGCCTGCTCTTGAGTCCGCTTCTCCTCTGTCCGAGTAGGGGAGGAGCGCCGGTCGGAACGTCCTTTCTGTTCGGTTCTCCTTTCTGTCGAGGAGCGCCTCCTGCTGGACGGAGACGGGGACTTCCTTCCCCTGTCTTTGGATCTGTCCCGGCTCCGGGAGCGCTTCTTGTCTTTAGACTTGCTGCGCTCCTTGGCCGACTCTCTGCTGCTTTTGGTCGTCTTGGTGGCTTTGCTGTCCTTCCCCGATCTGTCCCTGGACCTGCTGCGGCTGCGGCGCTTCCCGCTGGCTTTCCCGGCATCCGGCGATTCACGTCTGGCTTTGCCCCCCTTGCTGCTCTGGTCCCTGGGTGAACGAGTTTTGCCTCCGCTGCTTCTCTGACGCTGTTCCCCGTTACGCGCCCTCTGCCCCTCTGCATCCTCCTCGGAGCCGGAGTTATACCCCTGTAAGATAAGACCCATGCCTGACTGCACCTTCCCCTCCATCAGCTGACTGTCCAGCTCGGCTTTAATCAGCGCCCGCTGCTTCTCTAGGTCCTCCAGCAGGGCTCTGTCGTCCATGTTTGGGTTCTCAGAAGTGGGGGAGGCATCCTCGGCCTTCCGGCTGACGGCTCCCGCGGACGGAGACGTCGTCTCCTTGCGCCTGTGCTTCTTATGTTTGTGTCTGTGCTTGCGCTTCTTCTCCTTCTCCTCCTCGGACGCATGCTTATGCTTTTTGTGTTTGCTACGGTGCTTATGTTTCTTCTTCTTGTGTTTACTACCGCTGCTGCTGTGGTGCTTAGAGCCTTCACGCTGGTTCTCTCCGTTCACCTCGGCCTGCTCCTCGCCCTCCTCCTCCTCGTCCTCCTCTGACATTTCGCCGTTCTCATTCCCACTCTTCTCCGGACTTTCCAAGTCTTCTTTTCTGTTGATACAATTAAAACAAAAGTAATAATAACAACACATCATAACTTTGCCTTTATATGTATGTATATCTATGCAAAGATTCACAGAAGTTATCGAACTACTAAACCATGTGGAACGAAGAAAAGGACTGTGAAGTCATTACTTCACCCAATTATCAAGTGCTTAACTCTCCTGTGCTGCCAAAAATGTGCCCGAGGACGTCTGACTCAGCCTATCAGAGAGCTATCCCAACCTCATCCCACTAAACAATAAGAAAACACAGCTTTATACTTCATTTAACTTTTTAAAACTACATATTTGAAGTATTTTAGCAACAAATTGTACAGCAATGTTAGAAAATGCATTGTAAAAGCTCCACTTGACACCTATACCTATTTAGTTCCATTCTGCTTTGTCTTTTTGGTCCCTGCTCCAACTCAAACGGCGCACTTCGGTCCCCCACGACAAAAAGTTTGCCTCGATTCACCTCAGAGTTCGTAAACACTGCATCCGCTCACTGTCCACTCTATTAGACACTCCTACCTTGTTGGTCCACCATGTAAAGTCAGAGACGATAGCTCATCTGCTGCTGCACAGTTTGTGTTGGTCATCCTCTAGTCCTTCATCAGTGGTCACAGGACGCTGCCCACAGGACGCTGTTGGCTGGATGTTTTTGATTCTCAGTCCAGCAGTGACACTGAGGTGCTTAAAAACTTCAGCAGCACTGCTGTCTGATCCACTCAGACCAGCACAACGCACACTAACACACCACCACCACGTCAGAGTTACTGCCGTGCTGAGAATGATCCACCACCCAAATAGTACCTGCTCTGTGAGGGTCCATGGGGGTCCTGACCACTGAAGAACAGGGTAACAAAGTACGCAGAGAAACAGATGGACTACAGTCTGTAACTGTAGAACTACAAAGTGCACCTATATGGTCAGTGGAGCTGATAAAGTGGACAAAGAGCGCAGAAACGAGGAGGTGGACTTCACGCAGGAGCTGGTCGGTGTAACTAACGCTGTTGGCTCCGCTTCCTCCCCGCATGTGGACCAAGCAGCGAAGTTTCGACGCTAACGCTCCCGCGCTACCTGAGTGTTCCGCTCGCCACAGCTTCTGAATTTCGCCGGCCAAAGAAAGAGTAAAGGGGGTCCGAACCTCTCGGTCCGACTCTAGGACCGAAAAGTTGCGGCGGTTCTGCTGCTAACGCTGTTCGTGCGCGTCTGCCGAGAGAGGCTAATGCTGGTGCTATGCTAATTAGCACCTCTTGTGAGGAAAGTAGGCGACTAGCGTTACAATCCAACCGCTCAGCCGTTAAACTACCTAAAATAAACTGCTACAGTCGAACCTTATCGGAACAGAGCGCTCGGACCGGCTCCCACCGCCCGCGCTGGCGAGCCCGGTTAGCCGATGCTCGTGTGGAGCGAGGCTAACTCCGCTAGCAGCGCTAGGCTAACGGGCTAGCCCGGTCCGCAGCGCTGAGCACAGGACGGCTTACGGCCCGTTCGGAGCCGAATACCCCCCCTAATCGGGTAACTGACCGCAGGAGGACACAGTCCGGCACTGAAGCACCGGACACGGCGCAGAATGGAAGCCGTCCTCACCCGTTATTCAGCCGCCCGCTCGGTAGATCCATCTCCACCTCCGCCATTTTCTCCGCCTGGCGGCCGCTGTGTCTCCCCGCGGACCTGAGACCGACGGAGAAAGAGTCTGAGGGGCTTCTGCTCAGTACTGCCCCCCACCGCTCACTGCGCTCGACCGCCAGCGCGACGGAGACCCGACGAGCCGTTGGAGGTGGTCAGAATGTTATGCCTGATCGGTGTATATATATATATTTATATATACCAAACTCTCTTTACATTAAGTTACATTAAAAGTTAAGAATAGGCCGTCTGCTGTAAAGCTGCCGATACTTGCTTTTCATGTACGTATATTCACACACCAATCAGCAGCCACTTCATTAAGTCCATCACTTGTATCTACACTCACTGTCCATTTTATCAGCTCCACTGACCGTATAGTTTCACTCTGTAGTTCTAGTTACAGACTGTAGTCCATCTGTGTCTCTGCATATTTTGTTACCCTGTTCTTCAGTGGTCAGGACCCCCATGGACCCTCACAGAGCAGGTACTATTTGGGTGGTGGATCATTCTCAGCTCTGCAGTAACACTGACGTGGTGGCGGTGTGTTAGTGAGTGTTGTGCTGGTATGAGTGGATCAGACACAGCAGTGCTGCTGGAGTTTTTAAACACTGTGTCCACTCACTGTCCACTCTATTAGACACTCCTACCTTGTCAGTCCACCTTGTAGATGTAAAGTCAGAGACGATAGCTCATCTGCTGCTGCACAGTTTGTGTTGGTCATCCTCTAGTCCTTCATCAGTGGTCACAGGATGCTGCCCACAGGACGCTGTTGGCTGGATATTTTTGGTTGGTTTTTAGACTATTGCAGTTGCAGGCTGAGTGGAGGTGGTTAGAAATGAGTAAATGTATAACTTCAGGGTGAGTGGGTGGAGCTAAACTGCTCTGGCTGATATATGTAAATATGTTGGTTTTTATAACATAACAGCGAATTCAGTACTGGCAGTGTTTACATTCAATATCTATGTCCTTTATTTCAAAACAGTTAATAAAATTCTGTTTTTACAGAGATAGCTGCATTTCATCCCGTCTTAATTCAATTAATGACTGATCACGTTGATTTATCAGTCTACTCAGGCTTTAGCAGAGCTCAGTAACGCTGAGATTAATAACTGATCACATTGATTTATCAGTCTACTCAGGCTTTAGCAGAGTTTAGTAACGCTGAGATTAATAACTGATCACATTGATTTATCGGTCTACTTAGGCTCTAGCAGAGCTCAGTAACACTGAGATTAATAACTGATCACATTGATTTATCAGTCTACTCAGGCTTTAGCAGAGTTTAGTAACACTGAGATTAATAACCAATCACATTGATTTATCAGTCTACTCAGGCTTTAGCAGGAACTTCACTGGCTGATTTTTAAGGAGTTAATAAACAAGCAGTGATGAGGTTTCTTTAAAACTGTACAACCCCATTTCCAAAAAAGTTGTGACGCTGTGCAAAATGTAAATAAAAACGAAATGCAATGATGTGTAAATCATTTAAACCCTATATTAAATAGAAAACAGTACAAAGACAACACATCAGATGTAGAAACTGAGAAATATTAGTGTTTTTTGAAAAATATTTGCCCATTTTAAATTTGATGCCAACAACACGTTCCAGAAATGTTGGGACGGGGCAACAAAAGGCTGGTAAAGTTGTGTAATGCTAAAAAACACCTGGTGGTTAATTGGCAACAGGTCAGTAACATGATTGGGTATAAAGAGCATCTCAGAGAGGCGGAGTCTTTCAGAAGTAAAGATGAGGAGGGGTTCACCACTCTGTGAAAGACTGCACCATCAAATAGTGCAACAATTCAAGAGTAACGTTTCTCAACATAAAATAGCAAAGAACTTTGCTTTTCATCATCTACGGTACAAAATAACAATAAAAGATTCAGAGAATCTGGAGAAATCTCTGTATGTGAGGAACAAGGCCAAAAAACAGTATTTGCTGGCCGTGATCTTTGGGCCCTCAGACAGCACTGCATTAAAAACAGACATGATTCTGTAGTGGAAATCACTGCATGAGCTCAGAAACACTTCTGTAAACCACTGTCTGTGAGAACAGTTCATCGCTGCATCCACAAATGCAAATTAAAACTAAAATCCAAAGAAAAAAACAAATACAAACAGGACCCAGAAATGCTGCCGCCTTCTCTGGGCCTGAGCCCATTTAAAATGGACTGAGCGAAGTGGAAAAGTGTCCTGTGGTCCGACGAATCAACATTTGAAATCCTTTTTGGAAATCATGGACACTGTGTCCTCTGGGCTAAAGACCACTCAGCTTGTTATCAGCGCACAGTTCAAAAGCCAGTATTCATGATGGTATAAGGGGGCATTAGTGCACGTGGCACTAAATGCTAAACAATATATACATGTTTTGTCAACATATGCTGCCATCCAGACAACGTCTTTTTCAGGGAAGGCCTTGATTATTTCAGCAAGACAATATCAAACCACATTCTGCATGTATTACAGCAGCATTGCTCCGTATTAAAAGAGTCTGGGTGCTAAACTGACCTGCCTGAAGTCCAGACCTGTAACCACTGGAAATATTCCGCGCATTATGAAATGAAAAATACGACAAATGAGACCCTGAACTGTTGATCAGCTGAAATCCTGTATCAAACAAGAAAGGGAAAACATTTCACTTTCAAAACGATAACAGTCGGTCTCCTCAGTTCCCAAACACTTCCAGAGTGCTGTTAAAGAAGAGGTGATGAAACACAGTGGTAAACAGGCCCCCGCCCCAACTTTTTCTGAAACCTGTTGTTGACATCAATTTCAAAATTGGCATATATTTTTCAAAAAAACAATAAAATTTCTCTGTTTCAACATTTATTATGTTGTCTTTCTAGTATTTTTCTTTAAAAATATATTTTACATGATTTGCTTATCATTGCATTCTGCTTTTATTTATATTCTGCACAGCCTCCCAACTTTTTAGGAAATGGGGTTGTATATATATCTTAAATTTGATAGGCATATTCTGAATACGTATTTCCAACACTTGTATTCTGATCTCAATCCTCCATTATAAATGACAGAAACTGCTCAGACACCAGTTACATTATTTCCTTTTTTATTAAAACCTTACAAACATTTGTTGTGATCTATTACAAAAGAGCATTCAGATGTTGTTTCCCTTCAAGGGCGCTGTGCACCCTGACTCCATACACCCTGGATTTAAAGACAGGGCGTGGAAATTCCTACTTGGTACGTATGCTCGTTCTGGGCCCGTTTTCTCAGTCTCGGCTCTCCGCTATACTCTACCAAAGGATTACGTATTTACAAGTATAAAAACCAGAACAAAAGGCAGGAAATGTGATAACTTAAAATATCTTTCACCAACATTTTTGCTTTTTTTTTTTCCTCCACATGTCGCATTTCTTGACGCCTCACCCGTACTAAAAGCATGTATGGTCGCTGAACTTTACGTGAAGTTGTGGGCCTCTTGCTCCGTTTAACATATACATTTTTTTTGTAAGAATTCTTTAGAAAAGATTGGCAGTGTTCCTCTTGATATCGGCAGGCACTAATAAGGCACATACCTTTGGCCCAAACCCCCTAGTCCTTTCCTCAGGGAATGGATCACACCACTTTCAAAACAATAACATGACATTGGTAGACAACTTCAGAAAAACAAAACGCAAGTAACCATACAAAACAAAAACAAGTACCTAACTGCTACAGCATGACGTATAAAACTGTACATATGCAGGTATGTACAGATTGTTCTTAATACTGCTAACAAAACTGCCAAATTTGAGTCCTCTTTGCATAAGAGCATGATGTCTCCATGTTGTCTTAACTTGATTCATAGACCAATTAACACAGATACAAACAGAATCTATTTGCAATGCAAAGACTTGATGATATTTTCCACCACATTTTTGTAACAAAACACAATACACAACTCACTTTAAAAAAAAGAAATACAAAAAAAAATTACTTCTATTTGGCAAAATGTAAAATGAGTTAATACCAATGCCTTTTTTGGCACATTTTGGCCACCATACTTAAATTTCTAGTCTTTGTGCAATAAGCAACATACTGAGGTCGACTACAAATAACCTCATGCTGTTTTTCCACTATTGCCACATAATGCACAGCTTGTCAAAAGCACCAGTCATTAAAACACAGTAAGCATGATGTAAATTGTAAAATCTTACAATGTAAAAAAAGGAGAAAAAGCCTATATACATGTATACAGTCATGGTAAATCAAGTAGTACATTTATTCACTATGGGGCTCTGCTCCACACTTGTGTAGTACCCTTATGTAACAATATGGTCCCTCATTTTTGAAAGCAATGCCATGAAGAATATGTCAAAACACAATACAATTTGATTTGACATGAAATCTTAATTATTTTTTAATACTACCAATGTAAGACGTATAAAACATCTATATAAAAATGTGAATATAAAAAAAAATCGAGACACTAGGGCCTGTTAAATGTAAATTTGACCCTGCCTTGACCTGATGACAAGGGTCGGGTTGTCTCTATCTTCTCTGGTTCACTCAAAAGTAAGGATACATTAGTGAATGTGACATTCTACTCACTTAAAAAGACAGTGTGTATATTTATTCAGTAAACGAACATGCACGTATACCGACAACAAAACGCAAAAACAGCAATAATACACAGAATACTGTTTCAGTGATGGGAATGATACTAAAGTCACCCACTGTCATCTTAAAGCAATATAAAAATGAGCATTTAATTATTCGTTATTCCAAAAACTGAATGATTTAATGTATTTGTACACTTACACCATATTTATATGGTTTCCCAGACCCCTGTCCCAAGTGGGTGAGTGATATAAAATAGTGGGCCTATACTTTGTCTTAACACCACTTTTAAACTACTCTTGCTTACAGGTTGTCTCCCTGTTGTCCATTTCTTTACATCACACTAGTAAAGTCTGTATTCCTTTTCAGTCTCACTCACAGGGGGTTCACAAAAACCTACTGCATGATGGCAAGGAACTTGCTCTCTTCCGCGAGGGTGGTGAGGAGGGAGCTCATGTCTCCAATGGCCATGTTGTTGGTGCCAGGAGGCAGGCTGTGAAACATGGCTGAGAGGTGAGGAGTTGTCAGCCGAGAGGATGTCTGCGATAATCCATGGAGGATACTGGGACTGATGACGTCAGACACCAGACTGCCCTGGTCAAAGTTATCCTCCAGGATGGACGTGAAATCCAGACCAACGTTATCCAGGATGTTGCCACCAGGGCTACCTTCCACTGTGCTGGTCACCTGGTCAGCCCCAGGGGACAGGAGATCCCCTGTGGGTCCAGCCGATACCCCAGCTTCTGTCTTCAAGGATTCCATTAGACAGGGCTGCTGTACTTCACTAAAGGTTGAAGTTGAGGACTCTGCCGTGCCAAAGCACTCAGCAATGAACAGCTGTTGCTGGATGGAGGAGCAAGGGTTGGCTTGAAGATGGTCGTCTACTTCTAGTTTCAGTCCTGAAACTTGATTAGCAAGTGAGCAGCTGATGCTGTTTCCATTTCTAAAAGTTTGCTGTGCTTGGTGACTGCTGATGCTTGGCTGGGTAGGATATTGCTGTGGTTGAGAAGAGCCTCGACTGGGAGGTTGACAAGCCAAAGCAGACTGGGGCTGGTGAGGGAGGGTGCCACTCATTTGACCTGTGATTACATGGCCCTGCTGCAACCGCGATGTATTAGCTTGCTGAACGCAGCTTGGGCGAATGGGACCCAGGGTAATCTGAAAGAAGTCTGGCTGACCAAGGTTGTGGCTGCTGGAGCTAATCCTCCTAGTGTCCCTACAGTTACTTAGGGTAGTCTCCATCTTCACACCAGGGCTCATTCGACAAGACAGCTGCTGGTTTGACTTAGACCCTTCCCTAAGTGGATCTAGGTAACTGTGTCCATTTGTCATTTCAGCCACATGATGGACACCTCCCCTTTGATTATGGACATGTTGGTCTGGGAAGTGTGAAGGGAGCTGCTGCTGCTGCACAACCATGTTTCCAAAGCGACCAAATGGACCACTTACTGTGCCGCTCTGCCTTGGCCACCTCCCGCACCTCTGTGACTGCCGCGGAGGAGAAACCTCAGCACTGCCCGAGCTCACCTCATTCCACTGAATGGGCATACCGTCTTTGCCAGGACTATGCCCATGTGGTGCCTCCTGTTGCTGTGGAGGATTGCGGAAGTTCTGGGCCTCCTCAGGACCCTGGTCAAAATCGTTTCTGTGTGAATGGGAGTTTGTGTCATTTTGTTGGCTGCAGGCAACCCCACGGTCCTGTGAGTGGAGGTACTGCACTAATTCATCAGGCAGAATGTCTTCATCCCTAAATAACATAGCCCCATCATGATCCATGGCCAAAGCCTCAAGAGCTGATTGCTCCATGATGCTTGGAGGGCAAGGGGAGAGAAGGCCCCTCTGGAGATTGCTCTCTGAGCGGGTGTAGTTCTGCAGACTTAGTCCTTGACCTCCTCCATGTGGGTAATGATTACCAACCAGAGGGGGTAAGGGCTGCATGTTATTCAGGCTGCTGAAGCGCTGTATCTGGGGTCGTTCGAAGGTACCATGATCTCGTCTCCTTACAGGGTCACTTGCCCTTCTGTCACCATTGCCTGGGCCTTCTCCTGGATAGAATACCCTCTGCCTGCCTATGTGACTGCTGTGTCCAGTGGCACTACCATCACTGCAACGACGTGGTCTGACCAGTGGTGGCAGTGTGAGCTGGCTTACGTCTTGCCCATCCCCAGCCACAGTCATGCGAGTCTTCAAACTAACCTGTTCCATGTTAGGCAAGGGCGTCGGAGGGGGTCCACCTGTGGCGGCTGCATACTTGGCCTTGAGATGATAGTGCTGCGCTGGGGTGAGGTTCAGCACACCCCTTGATCCCATCCCACTTCCTCCCATACTTCCACTTCCCCCACCCCAGCTTCCTCCAGGCACCAATCCACCTGAGCCTCCACCTCCTCCACACTGGCTGGCCTCACTAGAGCGGCGCGAAGCATCGGTGGAGATGGGGTCATAGGAGTCACTCGCACTGAGGTTGTGCAGGCGTCTGTGCTGGCTGTGCTCAGATTGTGAGGCTTGGCTGGAGCGGCGGCTGGAAAAACAGGGCGAGATCCCGGAGGAACGGCGACTACTGCTAAGGTAGGCTGAGCTGGTGGTGCTACCACTACTGTCACGGCGATCCCGCAGTAGACTTAGCATTGTCAGCTCTGTGCTGGACAGCTCAGGACGTGGAGGAGGCTGAGGCACTGGTACCCCCCCACAGGTACTTCTGCCAGGACATGAGCCTAGAAAAGAGAAATATAAAATGATAAATGACCTGCAGTAAAAATTATACCATAAAAAAGTAACTCCTGAGTAAACAGCGGCAAATTATGTTTCAGTTTTTGACATGTTACCTGTCAGCACTCTTACCTTTCCCTATGAGGGCAGGCAGGGCCTGGCCTTTAGGGGGCAGTGTGGGGGACAGATGTCCCAGCCGTGGAATGCCTCCATTCACCTGCCTAAGCCTCTCCATCTTAACCTGCTCCATCCAGCGCAAAGGCCGCCCCAGGCTCCTGCGCGCCTGCAGGGCTAAGGTTGCTGCTGTGGCCGTAGCTGTGGACACAGTGGAGTCCATGATGGGGGCATCCTCCTCTTCTCCCTCTCTGTCATCCTCCTCTTCCTCCTCTTCATCCTCCTGGTCCTCGACCACCACCGCCTCCCCCACCAGCCCAATGCTGTTCACAGCAAGCTGGACTCCACGGCCGAAATGGGGGCCGGCGGGGGACTGGTCACTGCTGCATGAAGACTGACCGCCAGGGCTTGGCTGAGACGTCTGAGGGAGAAGAGCGTGAGAGACACAGGCATGAATGAATTAATCAAATTTTGGCAAGCTGATGTGAAAACCAGGAAAACATAATGACATAACAGGCATCTCTTTCATACCAGGTATGAAAAAATCCCATCAAATGATTATGAGAGGAAATGCACTGATGAAAGGCATTTGAAATGGCTTTTGGAATGGATTAAGGCTTTAATGTTGTTTTGCAGGTAATACGATTTTAATACAGCTTATGAGTGAAAATACTGTGGTGATGCACCAAAATTAAAATTCTTGGCAGAAACTGAAATTCAGGACACAGAAAACCAAAAAAGTGGCAGTAAATATGGTCAAAAAATCTCCCAATTAGAAACTGTGACGTTTTCACTGTTGGTTTTCTGCTCAAACTGTTTGAACTTGTCTGCACTGACCAGCGCAGGAAGGCAAAGGAAACAAACAGCATTTCTAAACAACATTTCTCGTTTCATAGCATTAAAATGTTTTGACACTTCATTGTAGACCTGGTCAAATCGTTCTTCAGATTGAAGGAGAATGTGTTGTTTATAGTTCTACACTCTTAAACATTATGCTTCTTCAAGAGTTCTTTAGTAAAGAAAATGGTTCTATATAGAACAATTAACAATCAAAAATCCTTGGCATGATTAAAGCGTTCCTTGCATCGTTAAAGGGATCTTCAGATTGATGGAGAATGTGCTGTAGATGGTTCTATATAGAATCCCTTTTGAAAACGGTTACAATGTCAAGCCTGCAACAATAAAAGAACCCTTTTGGTGCTATATAGAACCTTTTCATCTCTGTGAAGAACCCTTTAATGATGCAAAGAATCTTTTAATCATGCCAAGGTCTTTGAGTGTTCGTGATATTATATAGAACCATTTTAATTTTTTACTAAAGAACACTTGAAAAACCATCATTTTTAAGTGTGTATATAGCACCAAAAAGGGTTCTTCGTTTGTTATGATGTCAAGCTTGTCACAATAGAATAACCCTTTTTGGTGCTAGATAGAACCATGTTCAAAAAGGTTCTTTATAGAACCATATAAAAACATTTCCTCCTCACTCTGAAGAACCCGTTAACTATGCAAAGAGCCCTTTAATCAAGTTTAGTGTTCGTGGTTCTATATAGAACCATTTTCTTTATTAAAGAACCCTTGCAGAACCAAGTGTATAAAGAGCACCAAAAAAGAAAGGGTTCTTCTATTGTTATGATGTCAAGTTTGTCACAATAGAAGAGCTCTTTTTGGTTCTATATAGAACTATTTTTCAAAAAATATGATATATGAACCATCAACATGAACTATTTCACCATGCAAAGAACCGTATAGGCATGCAAAGGGTTCTTTGAGTGTTTATGGTTCTATATAGAACCACTGCCTTTACTAAAGAACCCTGTAGAACCATCTTTTTACAAAGTGCATTTAATTTTTGGGTTTTTTGGGTCAAAATTTTCAGCCATTTTTCTCAGTGGGCTGAAAACTGGAAGCACCATTTTTGACTGTTTTTCGACTGAAATTTTTGGTGGTTGAAATTTTGGGTGCATCTCTACTGTATACAGCGTTTCATGTTTTTGTCCAGTGTATTTGTCCTGGTTTATTACAAAAACACTGCTGGTCCACTGCACTGCAGCCATAGTAAATTACAGGAGCGTGAATAATAGTGTCCCCCGTGTTCGTCAGAGGACCAAACCAAGACTAGACAACAAACGGTGGCATGGAGGTGAACACCATGCGCTGTTTTCAGAAAATGGGGGGAGCGGGGGAGACAATAGGGAACAATAGCCTCTTTTCAAAGCGAATGAGTCCTAATGGGGCTATTATCTGTGTTGAAAGTGGACAATGTCTACAGAAAAATGAAGGATTTCAGTTAATCATTCAATCTGGTAGTAAGGAATGAATTTTGCACATGTTCTCAGCTCATTCAGGACTAAATGGTGAAGTTATTTGGCACCAGTTACCAAATTTTCACTCCTTTTTGCTCAAGACTCAATAGACACCTAGTAAGATGGCAGTTCAGGTGACTGTAGTTGTGATGCTGTTGGGAATGAATAACAGCTGATTTCTTAAACTTGTTTACATCTATGGCACAACACAGTGAGGATGGGACACTGCAGGCAAATGACAGGTCTTCGTTTAACCTAATGACCTCTGTGAGGGCAGAATGACCAATGGCAATACAATAGAGCTCAGATTCACAAGGACAAAGTTCAACAAGTCTCACCTGATCACCCACTGTCCTTAGTAAGAGAGGGAAGTAATGCGTGAAGCATTGGATGAAAAAGACATTCAGTTATTATATACGCCATGCAGAGCAAAGGTATAACAGACGTTAAGTAAGTGGTAGGCTGAGATATGAGAGCGAGCAGAAGGGTGAACAATACATCAAACACAACAGAACATCTGGCTGATTAGTGTGGAGAAGAAAGAGACAAGCATAAAACAAGGTCTTAATAAATAAGCATGAATTTAATTGCTGAAATAATAGTGTGATTATTCTATCAGGAAAGCTTCCCGTGTTTATGTTCATCACATACCAGCAGAAGTCAAGTCAAGTGAATGTGTTTATGGGAAACTGTTAATGTCAGGCATGGAAAGGGGCTTACCATAGGCTTCTCTGTCTTGATTGACTTGACCTGCAGACAGTCGTCCTGTTTTGAGGTAGCATGGTTATACTCCCTTTGGTCAGTGAAAGCTCCTAAGGGCAGCTGCCCTGGCGACCGGCCCTGTCCGTGAGCTCCCGGTTCCCTGGGCTGGGGCGGGGGTCGGGGGTACACGTCCCCGCGCTGCTTCTTAGTGACGTGGGCTTCGGGTCCATGGACGGTCTTTACGTGTTTGCGTAGAGAGCTGGGGTCCGTGTAGCGCTTGGTGCAGCCGGGAATCTTGCACACGTAGGGTTTCTGAGAAAGACACGGCGAGAGTGAGGAACGATAATAAAGCAGCGTTTTTTGAAATGGCAGCTAGTTAAGAGTCACTGCAACTTGAAGGCCAGTGAAGCGTCTCCCTTACTGAAGCACATAACCTGCATGTGTTACTGTGGTCTTCATAACTAAACTCCAGAAGAGCCCGTATTCCTGTAACGGGTATCGTCGTCTGTGGAATTTCTAGTTTCAAGCGAGTATCAGGATGTAAACAAAGTAATTCAGAGTGTTTTCATGTGAAATGTTTCATGGTAGAGAAATACACTGGCTCTGATTGCTTTACCATGGTGGTGATGGGAACTGGGCCAATTTATGGCCATTGCCTTCCAAAATGACCAAAATGACAACGTGTCAATATTGATAACAGTAAAATCGTAGTACATTCAAGGTTTAAAGCTCCTCTTTAAACACTCTAAAAAAGATGGTTCTTCATGGTTGTTTGATTAAAGACAACGGTTCTATATAGGACCATGAACACACCAAGAACCTTTTTCTTTGCATGGTAAAATGGCTCTTCAGATGATTGGAGAATGTGTCGTCTATGATTCTATATAGCACCAAAAAGGATTCTGCTATTGTTGTACAAGCATTATAAGAAATAAAAATAAATAGCGCAGGAGTTACACGCTGGCTGGTTCTTCAGATTGATGGAGAATGTATTACATATGGTTCTATATAGGACCAGAAAGCTTGTAACAAGCTTGACATCGTAACAGCAGAACCCTTTTGTGCTAAATAGAACCATCGCTTTTACTAAAGAACACTTGAAGGACCATCTTTTTTAAGAGTGTAGAACCTTTGGCATGCTTAAAGCGTTCTTTGCATCATGAAAGGGTTCTTCAGATTGATGAACAATGTACTGTAGATGGTGCTATACAGAACCTTTTTGAAAATGGTTCTTCTATTGTTATGATGTCAAGCTCGTTACAACAGAAGACACGTGTTGTCTGGTGTATATAGAACCCTTTTCAAAAAGGGTCTATATAGAACCATATACAACACATCCTCCATCAATCTGAAGAGCCATTTCACCATGCAGAGAACCATTTAAGCATGAAATGGTTCTATATAAAATTCCTGGTATGAAATAGAACATGAGTGACGGCAGCACCAAATAGTACTAATGCATATTTTCCTAACTGCGAACCTTTGCAGCCTCATCAGTCAGAAGTGAGAATCAAAATTGGTATGTGGCGCCCTGTTTACTCCTCCAATGCTATTTAAAACACTGTATAATGAGAAATATGAGAAATATGACAGCGATTTTAATCCGCAGCGCCTCTGAGCAGCACACATAATGGCTAAATTGCACGTTCCTTTCAGGAACTGTCTGGAAAAGCTTGCCTGAACCTGTATAAGCTGCATGTGCATATGCGCATACCTCGTTGGAGTGTGTCCGATTTTGGTGCTTGGCACGGTCAGACGCGTTGGAGAAGGCCTTGTTGCAGCCCTCGTGCTCACACACGTACGGCTTCTCCCCTGTGTGGGAGCGTAAGTGTGTCTTCAGGTTCTCCAGTCGGGAGTAGGCCTTGGAGCAGCCCTCAAACTGAAGAAGACAATCACAAAATGCTTAATGTGCTGTAAAGTTGAAGTGTGAGTCATTAATGTTTTTAAACAAAAACATCCATCGACTGTTTTTTCACATCTGTGCATTTTTTCTGCTGGAAGTTCTCGTTGCAGGTGATGCTGCTTCAGCTAAAGCAACAACAATAACAGCGATGATGAGTGGAGCGTGAACAGCTCACTCAAGTGTTGAGCTTGAAGCATCTCAGGTTCAGTGGTTTGTCTGCTGACGATGATCAGAGGAGAAATGAGTGGCAGTTAATAAAGGAATAAACTTCGTCACACGGAGGAAAAGAGGCTCTGTCTGTGTTTCAGCACTGCTGACTGACGTTAATGTGCAGTAGGTGCTGTAAAGTTGCTGCTTCAGCCGCTTTCAGAGGAACAGTTTTCATTTTCTCCCTCTAAAGCTGTCGGCATCTCTGCTCAGCGGGGAGCAGATGAATCGCTCACTGGAGTCGGTGTTTGTGGAAAACGTCTACAGCGGCGCTACGGACCATGATGACCCGGCGCCCCCTGCTGGCATATGCGTGTGTTTAACTTTTTGCCAACTAGTTTATTGTTAGAGAGCTGTTTCAGCATCTCCAGCTAACATGGCTAATCTGGCACTTTGGCTCTAGTTATTTACATCCATCCATTCATCCATCTATCCTATCCTATCATTTATTTCCTCCACATTGTTGTGTGTTTGGTTCTCCAACAGTTCTGGACACGTCCTCCAATTTCAATCTCGGCAACTATGACTAAGATAAAAGGGTACACCTTTCTGTGGTGAGCTGTGAAGTTGAGGCATGCTGGGTAATGTAGTTTCTTACCGTGCATTTGTGTGGCTTCTCCCCCGTGTGCCTGCGCATGTGTACCACCAGCATGTACTGGGCCTTGAAGGGCTTCTGCTCTCGAGAGCACTCCTCCCAGCGACACACGAACTCCTTCTTCTCCCCGTGGATGTGGTCGTTATTGATGTG